GGTGTGGGTGGGTGCGAGTGTGGATGTTGGCGTGGGTGAGTGTGGGTGTGGGTGAGTGTGGGTGTGGGTGGTGTGGGTGTAGGCGTGGGTGTAGGTGTGGGTATGGGGTGGGGTGGGTGTGTGTTGTGGATATCTATTCTTCTGCGAAGAGTCACCTACACCCACACCCCACACCCACACTCATCCACACCCACACCCACACCCACACCCATCCACACCCACACCCCCACACCCACCCACATACCCACACCCACACTCACACCCACTCTCACCCACACATCCACACCCTGCATCAGAGGACTTCCTCAGTGAGGTGTCGATTTGAACAGAACTGCTTGAGCAGTTTCCCTAAGGTCGGAAGAACTCTTCGAACAGTTCATTTCATCTGAGCTGAACAGTAGAAAAAGATCAGATCAGATCATTTTTACAAGCTGTTCATCAGTTCCGAACTTCTACTGAATTGCCCTACGCATGGTTCGCATGCACACCCATTCCGCGCTGGAGCCCAGACTCACAGATCTATTCATGGAAGTTTAGAAGATGCATTAACCTAATGCAGGAAAAACAGAAAACTTCATTTAGCGCGGAATTGTCGTCCACGGAAGTGTCGTGCGCGAAAATGTCGTGGCACGGTAAATACTAGATATTTACATAAGAAACTGGAATTAATTGCATAAACATTTGTTATGATTTCGGAATAATGATTTTTTTAATTTTATTTTCTTGCTAGAAAAACAAAATCTATCAAAATGAATATTATCTTACCTACTGTTTCTGTTATTGATGAAATCTGATGTATAATAGAAGAATGATCATGATTTTCTTGTTTGTCATTTATCTTTGTTGATAAATAAATTTTTGTGATGATAATTAATAAAATTAAAATTAAAATTAAAGATAAGAAGATGATTAAAATTGGTTTTTTTATCGAATGAAAACAATTTGAAATACATCGATTATTATTTGAAGATACTGAATTAGTTATTTGACGATAAGGATAAGGTGGACTGTCAAATGATAACATCTAATAATAAAAATAAAGAACATTTGTTTAAATGGACTCATTTAAATAGAGAAAAAAGATGAATAAGATTTGTTATTTTTCAACAAAAAAAAACATACAAAGATTATGTCATTTTGAATTAGTCAAAATGAAATAAAATGAATAGTTAAAATGTAATCTTTTTATTTATTATAGTAACAAATGTTCGATAAATATTTTCTAATTAATTAATCAATAAACAAAAATTGAAAGAAAGTAAAATAACTCATTCAGATGAATAAATATAATTATTTTTTTTAAATCTTTTTTTTAATCACATAGATAAGATATCAACATTCGAGTAAATGAATATATTGATTAAAATAATTTGATTTTTGTTATTGTTTTAATTGAATATTTTCAATTAGTAGATGATAATGATCTTCTTTACGTTGAATATTTTTTCTTTTAATAATTCATTTAAACTTTTCAAATCTTGATAATATAATATCTTCGTTAATAACATTTGTTTTTTCTAAAAATCGATTACAACTTATTGGATTATGTTTTATATCAATAACTTTCGATTTTTGTTCTTTAAATTCATCTTTTTCCATAAAGTTTTCTTCAATTAAATTTGTATGTGCATTTTTTTCATTGTGATCTGAATCAAATGTTTGAAAATGTCCAACAAATTTATTTTCATCCGAACTGAATTCATCTATAAATGTGTTTGACGGGGAAAGAACATTATCATCGATTTGAGATTCACTTAGCTGCTGTAAATCAACATTTAATGAATGATTTTGAAGATTAATTTTCTTGATTGGTAGATGTGTTTTATATTTAGTTAAATTATTAATCATTTGTTGGCTATTTAATATTGAAGAATGTTTAGATGGATAAATTTTTCTTTGAATTTCATTAGCTTTAGAATATAAAGATAAAGCTTGCTCATTTTGATAAAATTTAGCTAAAATAATTAAACAATTTGATGTTGATTCATAATGTTGATGCAGATTTTTTTCAAAGATTGTCAATGCTTTCTCATAATAACTCTTATCATTCAATAGTTGTCCAATTTTCATTTGAATAAAAGCAATACTAACATGATTTTCATCGAATAAATATTCTTTATGCATAGATAACTGTTCAAAACAAAATTTAAGTGCACGTTTATTATTTCCATCAAGTTTTTCATATAAATCTGCAAGTGCTTCAATAGAATGTATTAAATGAATATGACCAATATATAAATGTTTTTTAGATAATTCAAAAGCTGTTAAATAAAAATTTTCTGCTTCAATATAAGCTTGTTGTAAGAATAAAATTTCACCTAAAATTCCTTGACAAACAATTATTTCAGCATATGGACAAGGTTCAATTTGTTGAAGACTATCACGTGATTGTAAACAAAAATCTTCTGCTTGACGATAATGACCATTTTTCATATGCATTGTTCCAATATTTAATATTGTAATTGCATTATTCAATGGATCATTCTGACATTTTAATGCTTTATTATAATATTTCAATGCTTTATTCATATTTCCAATGGCTTTATAATAATTACCGAAATTGTTCAGTGTAACAGCCAATTCTGGATGATTCGATGGAAATCGTTTACATTTTAAATCATATGCTATATTAAAACTTATCATCGATTTTTCATAATTACTCGTACACATGTTTATATTACCAATATAATCATGTATTGAAGGTAAATCTTGATGATCATTAGGTAATTCTTGTAATATCATTCTAAAATAAGCTTCAGCTTTGACGTATTGGTGCATATCGATTAATAATCTGCCAAATAATAAATTAATATTAAATGATTGAAATTCTTTTATAATGAAATCAATTCTTTGTTTAATTTCAAATGTTCCTTGATCTGTTGCACTCATTTGAATTCTCCAGAAATTACGTTGTTCATCACGTTCAACATTTTCAATTATAAAAACTGATCCAATATTAAAAAGTATTTCTTTTTCATCAGTTCCATTTAAATATTGCTCTACATCAACAAAAATTGTATTTTGAATTTTATCTGAAGGAATTTCAATTTGAAAAAGAACAACTTTAAAATCTTGACAATCTGTTGCACCAGCTATAAATTGTAATGCAATATCTAAAGATTTTGATGTTGAAAGAAAACCATTTGTTGATATTAAACTACCAATATTAGATTTAATATTATCAAATTCTTTATTTGTCATACGTGCTTGACCACGATAAACTGTATAAGAGTTTTTTATTTGTTGTGCTTGATGAACTTGTTCTATTTGTGTACATAAATCAACAATAAAAAATCGAAATAAATACCATAATGCTGTATCTTCAGTTCTAAATGCTTTATTAACAAGTTTATAAATAAATGAATCTCTTGTATACCAGTCAATAGCATTTGATGAAGAATAATTTTGTCGAAACTTTTCAATTTTTTCGAGTTCATTTTTATCTCTTCGATAATAATCTTTACATTTATTTAACATAATTTGTTTAGCTTGTTCATTCTGAGGAATTTTTTTTAATAATTCAATAAATAGAATATATGAAAAAAAAGCACTTGTATTATTATAATCTTGTATTGATGATGAAAATGATTTTGTTGTTAATAGTCGTGTTGTTTTAAATGGCTGATTTTCAAATAAATTAAATTTTAATGATGGTAATTCACGTTGAATAGAATTTTTTAATGAATCATGATCACTGCAAATATCAGTTACATTATATTTATTTAAGTATTTTTTATATTTAGTTGAATCATTGCAAAATATAATTATAGTTGAAATAGTAGCATCTAATTTTGTTGATATAGATAAAATTCTTTCAGCAAATGATCCTGAAACAACTAATAAAATTTTATTTTCAAATTTTATTTTTTCATTTATATCATCAAGAAATAAATTAATATCATTATAAAAAAAACAATTATCATTATTATTAATTTGTTTTAATAAAGTTTTTGTACGTAATGAATCAAGTGAATTTGTATTTGATATTTGATCTAACCATACTATTGTAAATAATTCATAATTTTCATCATCATCTAACAAATAATTTTGACGTTGTGGAAATGAGGATATTGGTATTGAACTATTATTATTATTTCTAATAGATTCAGACGATTCATCTATTATTTGACTAACTTTCGATCCCATGTTTTAGATGAAAAATAATTAATCAAAATGGTTGTTTTTTTTCTGATCGTAAACAAAAATATGAATCGAAGAAAAATAAAACGTTTTTTAATAAATTGTAACTTTGATATATGTATTCAGATGTTAGATTAGAATGAAAACAAAAAGGTCACACATGAATAAACAATTTGTACGCCTTATAATTGCAAATAACTTGAAGCTGTTTTAGATGAAAAATAATTAATCAAAATGGTTGTTTTTTCTGATAGCAAGCAAAAATATGACTCGAAGAAAAACAAAACGTTTTTTACTAAATTGTAACTTTGATATATGTATTCAGATGTTAGATTAGAACGAAAAGAAAACGTCACACATGAATAAACAATTTTAACGCTTTGTAATTGCAAATAACTTCCTTTTTTTTTCTACTTTGCTTTTTGCTCAACTCGTTTTTTTTTCTTGCTTACTGTAATGTTACGATTTGGCAATACATCAATATCCTATCATCCAATTGATATTACAAATAACAATACTTATTCGAAATGGAATAAATCGAAAAAAATTCTTTTAATATCTATTATTTTTACAATTATTTTTCTTGTTTTATGCACTGTCATTTTTATTTCATTAAAAATTTACCTAAACAATAAACAGAAATTGAATAATTCTACATTTATTACAAATTTATCATCAACTACTCAATTATTACCAATAATAACAACAGGTAGATTATAATTAATCTTTTCTTTTGTTTAGGAGAAATTTCCATAGATTTAATTTTATTTTCAATAGTAATTATTGTTTTTTCGTATAAAATAAATAAAAATCTTATCAAAGAATTTTATCACAATAGTAATCATCCTTTATAAAGCAAAAGTAAAATAGGTTTTAATGATTAGACAATTTATTATTCATAAAAATCATATCAATCTTTATAGTATTAAATTATAGATGCATGTATATATAGAAAGAAAAAAACTTTAAAATGAAAAGTGAATCTATTCCCTAAAAAAGTAGAGATATTCATCACGATGCCATGGCAACAACTCCTATTTTTGGAGAACATTGCAAAAGTGTAGATATTTGCAAAGAATTTTGCTGTTCATAAATTAGATACTCTGACACTTACTGAACATCAAGAATTAGTAGCGACAGTTATAGTTCAATAGAGACACAAAAATAAAAATGAATATTATCGCAACAGATTTTCAATCGTAATGGACATCTTTGCAAGAAAGTTCGAGTGGTTCAACTTTGTTTTAAATAACTTTTTTCAAATTTTTTATGTCAAATTTTGTATAAAGAGATTGAATACAGGAAGTAAAAAAGAATAAAAAATTCAGAATAATCAGAGCTTAAAAAGATCTAGTCTTTTGAGATCAATTTTGGAACAAAAAAAGAATCTTTTCTTGCTATCAAAACAGACAAAAACAAGATCGATTTCGATCATTTCTAGTTTAAAGAGTATAACTAACATACTATAAAAAGAAGAATTAACATGAATTATCATGCAGTTGCTTTATTGGTACATGTATTAATTTATTTTTGAATATAACAAAAACTGTGTAACTAACTATTTCTTTTTTTTTTTAAAAGACAGGAGTTACTGATATGGTAAGTTTTCAGTTAAGAAGAAACAATTTTTCATTTGAAATGTGTACAACAATCGTTTAGCATATCTACTATACTCTGTTAATCTTAACACAACTACCTCTAGGATTCGACCGGACCTCAGTCAATTTCATTTCGATATTGTGTTTGCATAACATTAGATGAAGCATCGTCTCTTTAGATATATCTTACGTTAGAGATACTTACGAGGGAACATTCCCAAGTGATACCCGCCGTTTCAGCTCATATTGTGCCCAAAAGTAGATCTCGGTAAGACTAGAGAAAGTCTAAAAGGGTTCGTGCCATTGCGCCCTTGGAGCCGAGTTATGCCTAATTTACAGAATTTTCGGCCCTTTTTAGGGTACTGATCGAAAAATCAAATTACGAAGTTTCCATCTGAAATTTCTAACATAGATAGATATAGTTACACCTAGAATATCCTGAAAGTTTCAGCCGAATAGAATGTTCCTATGTGGAGATATTGGATCTCCAAAAAATAGTCATTTGCGACAGATATTTCACAAAAGTCGAGTTTAATTGAAAATGCAATAACTCGACAAAGGAACATTCTATTCGGCTGAAACTTCCAGGATATTCTAAGTGTAACTATATCTATCTATGTTAGAAATTTCAGATGGAAACTTCGTAATTTGATTTTTCGATCAGTACCCTACAAAGGGCCGAAAATTCTGTAGATTAGGCAGAACTCACCTCCAAAGGCGGAATGGCACGAACCCTGTTAGACTTTCTCTAGTCTTACCGAGATCTACTTTTGGGCACAATATGAGCTGAAACGGCGGGTATCATTTTGGAATGCTCTCTCGTTAGTAAAGTATATTGGTAACATTAGTCGGTCAAATCGAATCGTTGTTTTGTTAAATAGGGTGCTCAAAGTACATGTGAACGCTTGTTGTTCTTCTGGAGGAGGTTCAGGTGGATCCCACCGAGATTGTGTGTAATGCTTTATAATCGTAATCTTGAATAGAATCTTATCCTATCAGTCATGCTTTCAGGACATCGAGCAAAGTATGCTGATAACATTAATTAATGACATCTATACTGTAAAAAAAAGTATTGCTTCAGGAACGGTAAATTTCCAGTTACGTTCCATTTTGCCGAAACTTCAGTTCTACTGAGGAAAAATCATACCCAAATGCGCGAAACATTCTAGTAAGGGTTCTTTCCTCATCTATACTAAATTTTTAACAAAGTTCAATGCACGTAGAAACTTTCAGTTCTTATTCCTCTTGAATTCAAGTCTCCACTAGAACCAATTTAATTCCATTGAAAAATAGTAGTAATATAATATATTACTTCTGTTCTATTAGGTTAGAGTATCATACGATCTCAGGTAATCAACAAGTAATAGTCCGAAAGATGGTCATGTCAAGATTAAGGAAAAGATTGCGTCAAAATTTTTCTTTCTAAAATAAAATATTCGTTTAATGTAATGTTTTACGAAATCTTGTTAAATATTTCTCATTATTTTCTTTGTTTTTTGTAGAAAATAATAGTACGATAAATTCATCAATTTATTCTAGTCCATTTTATCCAACATATGATAAATTTGGTAGAATAGTGGCTGGTAATACTTTGGAATATGGAAAGGATTTCAATCATTTAAATTATCCATCATGTGTTTATCTTGATAGTAAGAAAAATATTTATATTTGTGATACTGAAAATAATAGAATAATGAAATATTCAAGAGATAATCCAACAAATGGAACAATAATAGTTGATGCTTTTTCGGCAATAAGTAGTCCAAAAGATCTTTATATTGATCAGAAAACTGACGATGTATATATTCTTGATAGGAGTGAATTAAATTGTTATCGTGTTCTATATTTATTAAAGAATCCTACTCAAACAAAAGTAATTATTATTTTAAATGGAAATAGATGTGAAGCTTTAAGTATAGATTTTGATAATCATAGAAATATTTATGTATCAGAAACTGAAAATCATCGTATTGTTAAATGGTTATCTCCAAATTATGACGAATTTATTGTTGTAGCTGGAAATGGAAAACCAGGAAAATTATTACATCAATTAACTTCTCCACGAGGAATATATATTAATAAAATAAATAATGATTTATATATTGCTGATTATAAACGTATACAACTTTGGACATCAGGATCGACTATAGGAAAAACAATTGTACGAACTTCATTCTTTTCACCATACGATATTAAACAAGATCGTTATAGCAATCTTTATGTTACTGATGATGTTTCTCATACTATTCAGTTATTTAGTCAATCAATTGAAGCTACTGGATTAGAAGGCATTACTATTTTTGGTATACCAAAAAAACGGACATATAAAGACGGATTAATAAATGCAACTGATTATTTATATGGTCCAAAAGGACTTTATCTTGATGATACAAATGGAGATTTATATGTAGCAGATTCGAATTTTCATCGAATACTTAAAATATCGATTAATGGTCAATTTATTCCAGGTAGAATAAAACAAACAGGATATTTGTAAAATACGCTCTAACCCACTCCAACCGCCGTTTAACTCGAAGTTAATATCAATCGATAGAGCTTAGAGTTCTTCACTCAGAAGGCCCCACTCTAAGCCATTTTCTTTAAACAATCTTTGATAAAAGAATCAAATACCATTTTTATGGGTCCACTCTAAGCCACCCCAACCCACTCTAAGCCACTCCAACCCACTCTAAGCCCACTTCAACCCACTCCGAGCCACTTCGACCCACTCTAAGCCAATTTTTTGCGAGAAAATGAATAACTCATAATAATATACAACTTTGTAATTTATTTTAGCCCTATCTACCTTGACATCACTTTTCCCATTGTTAGAGGTCAAAGGTCAAGGGTCAGGGGTCACACCTGATGGTAAAATTTAGCGTTCAATTTATACGTCCAATATCAAGTTTTTCAAACAAACTCTCTTTCTTTTTCGTAGATTATTGAACCTACGCACCGTTACTTCAAAAATCTGATATTGGACGTATAAATTTAACGCTAAATTTTACCATCAGGTGTAACCCTTGACCCTTGACCTTTGGCCTTTAACAATGGGAAAAGTGATGTCAAGGTAGATAGGGCTAAAATAAATTACAAAATTGTTTATTATTATGAGTTATTCATTTTCTCGCAAAAATTGGCTTAGAGTGGGTCGAAGTGGCTTGGAGTGGGTTGAAGTGGGCTTAGAGTGGGTTCGAGTGGACCCATAAAAATGGTATTTGATTCTTTTATCAAAGATTGTTTAAAGAAAATGGCTTAGATGGGGCCTTTTGAGTGAAGAATTCTAAGCTCTATCGATTGATATTAACTTCGAGTTAAATGGCGGTTGGAGTGGGTTAGAGCGTATTTTACAAATACCCAAACAAACATTTTTAGCAAGAACAAATTTTTTTTATTTAGGTAAAAAAATCAATTCATCATTATATAGTTGTGATCTTCCAATGAATATTACTTGGCAAACCAATAATGCAATAGTTATAGTCAATTTTACGAATAAATATTTTTCTGTAGAAGAATTATATATTGATAAAAAAAATAATTTTTTTTTTATTGATAAATATAATAACAAAATTCAAAAGTATTCATCATGGGGTATTATAAATATTATTAGTCAAGGTTTAATGGAACCAAAAAGCATTTATGTTGACAGTTCAACTGATGATATTTATATACTTGATATGAATTCTAATTCAATGGAAAACATTTATAGGGTCCAATTATGGCAACAAAATTCTGCTAATGGAATAGTTCTCATCAATGGAACTGGTAAAAGTAATTCTATGATTGTTGATCAAAATTTAAATATTTATATAAGTGAGTATGATAATAATAGAATTAAAAAATGGTTGAAACATACAAATTATACAATCAGTATAACAGTAATTGGAAATGGATGGGATTATTATGGAAATTATCTATTATCAAATCTAGACAAGTTTTATCTTGATGAGAAAAACGAGATAATTTATATAGTTAATTTTAAAAAATCTCATATTATCAAATGGAGATTAGGTAATGAAAAAAGAACAGGTGAAATTATATATTCTAATCAAATTCTATCTTCTGTATTGGGAGTAACATTTGATTGTAATATGAATATTTACTTTTTTAATTCATCTTCTGATGGAATTTATCAAATCAATATATTAACAAATCAAATAAGAAAAATTGTCACATGGACAGCAAATTATAATATTCAATCTAAATCTATACAAGGATTTAAATTTGATTCATTTGGAAATCTTTATTTACATATTATGGAAAGATTTTATTGGAATCATTTTGAAAATAATCGAATAATAAAGTATTCAATAATTCGATAAATAAATTCATCTAAAATAATTTATTCTTGAAATAAATATTTATGTATGTGTCTATTTATTTTGTCATAGTTAACCATCATATTAGGTGAAATATTGACAAAATCTTATATATAAATAATTGATTTATATTGGAAAAAGCTTTTATTTTGTTTTAATTTTTGTGGAACTCACATATATTTTCGAAGAAAACAGTGAGTGTAAGTTTTAAGTTCAATTTTTCGAGCTCCCCCACCCCATTTCAGACACCTAGCAACGTAGGCCCCCATTACAGACATCCCCACATTATAGACCTTAGCAATCAATAATAAAAGGTGTTAGATTTTCTCGAGTTTTTTCGGAAAATTGTTCAAGTTGTAATTTTGAAAAATAATGAATATTATTATTTGTAAGTTGGTTAATATGTATGATAGTGTGTAAAATCTGCTGTAGGCATGATGAATATGCAAAACAGACTTATTTGTCAATTATTTCAATGATTATAATACTAAGAATGTTAAATTAAGAAAAAGGAATTAAAAAAAAGAAAAATAATGAGCGGATAGCAACAATGAAAACAAAAAATAGGGCGCCCGTAAAATGAAATAAAAAAATTGTCTTCGAAATGCAGAAATCAGAGAGATTATTATTTATTATTTCAGTGATTGATTATCGTGCAAAACGATTATAGTCGACGAGAGATTTTTCACTTCACGCTTTTTGTATTAGTTTAATGAACGTAGAGAGCATTTGTGAGTTCCACATTCCAGCCCCAAAGGGGCTGCGCTAACAAGCTTTTTGAAAGAATTCAAATAAATAAAGCATTATGAGAAAATATATATACAGCAGAATGCAGATAAAATTACCGCTAGATACATGATTCTTTCAAAGGTGTATCTTTCAAATAAAAATCATCGGATGATCCTCGAGCGAAAAGTCCAAAATTTGGATATAGTCTTCCACGAAGAATGGCAAAAGAAACTGACAAGTACATTCTCTGAGCCATTTAATTGCGTCATTGAAAGAAAAATGTTTGGCAACGATTAACTCAATGTAAAAGAAAATTAGCTATAAACTATAATATTTAATAGTATTCTCAAAATATTCACAGTTTCTCTATAAAAATAAAATGAACAAATGTTTTTAGTTTTTTTTCTTCTAAAAATGACGAATTTTAATTGATGATAGTCAAGATTAATCAACAATCAATGCAAAATACGATGAAATATTTAAAAAAAGCTTGCTAGCGCAGCCCTTACAGAGCCAAAATGTGGAACTCGCATAGCTTCTTTAGCCTGATAATACTAATACAAAATATGAAAAGTGAAAAAAACTGTACCATATTACAGTTGTTTTCCAACATCATCGATCGGCAGAAATAGTATCTACTTTTCCTTCTTGAGTCTTAAAAAAAATATTTTGCTTTCTTTAGAAGCGCGCTATTTTTGTTGCTATTCACTCATTTTTTTTCCTGTTTGTTTTGCATTCTTTTTTTTAAATTTAGTTCTATTATCATTGTAATCATTTACTCAACAGATAAATATGCCTCTTATACATATACATTTAACCTAGAGCAAGTATCAATGAACTATTATATATCTCGATCAAGTCACAACACTAGAACTGAGTTTTTTTCAAATTAATAACTTGATCGATCGATGATTTCTTATAATTGTTGACGTTTTAAATACACATGTTTATGTGGACAAAAATCCAAAACTGAACTTACAGGAATATTAGCATATGAATATTATTAATTTCAACTTTTCCACAATACTCTGGCTTATGCCAGAGTGGTCAAAATTTCTTTTCATTTTTTACACTAATTTTTTTCTACAATTGCATTGAAAAGAGGGTGTGGGTGTGGTTGGTGTCTGGTGTGGTGTGGGTGTGAGTGGGTGACGTACTTTTCATCTCAAGTCATTCCGAACTCCTGACATGTGTTTGGGTGTTCGGAAATGAATTTTTGTCCTTAAAGATTTACTACAGGAGTTCATAAACATTTTTGTACGGGAAATCGGAATAGAAAAGCAGGGAAATCGGAATGGTGTAACCGGTTGTTCGAAATAGAATGCTTTTTGCTATATCTGATGTAGCAATCGGAGATCGTAATGAACAAGGTCGGATGTTCGGAATGTATGACTAACGGTATTTTTACAGAAAAAGATCGGAAGAATGGAATGTCATTGGCAGGAAGTTTGTAAAAGAATTTACTAGAAGATCGTAACGGATATAAAGACTTTTCTTTCTGTTTTTATAGACAAGAATGACTGTAAGACAAGCGTGTCACTTCACCATCTCTCAAAGGTGAGTAAATCTTAACATAGTTACGAACATCCTGCCGTTTTCATTCCGAACACCCTGTAGTTTTCATTACGACCACCTGTGTTTGTCATTACGAACTTCCAGACTTTCTCATTCTAATATCCAGTTAAACTTTAGCTGTTCAACCACTAACAATGGGTTGTCAGAGGTCGTCACGAACTCCTGAACAAATTTCATTCCGAACATCCCGGTTTTTGTTATATTTCATTGGCTTTTGCTATTAAGAACTCCATTCCGAACCCCTTGTCTGCTTTCTTATGTTCGAAGATCGTAACGGACTATTTCCACCGGAGTTCATAGTGAAAAAGTGAGACGAAAAGTCACTTTCCCGTGTGAGTGTGGGTGGTGATGGTGGTGTTGGTACGGGATGCGTGTGGGTGTGGGTGTGGTGTGGTGGTGCTCTTTCATTCTCCCATATACACATCCACCCCACACCCCTTACCCACACCCAACCCACACCCACACCCACACCCATATTTTTCTTACGCCACACCCATACCCACATTCTCACCCAAGTTAAATTAATTTAATTGTAGTGCTTAAATTATTAAAAATAGCAAAAGGCATTCGAGCATTATTAGATACAGTTATACAAGCTCTGCCACAAGTTGGAAATTTGGTAAAAAAAATATTATCTTATTAATTAATGTAATAATAATAATTATTTATTTATTTATGTTATAAGGGTCTTTTATTTTTTCTTCTTTTCTTCATATTTGCTGCACTTGGTGTTGACTTATTTGGAAAATTAGAATGTAGTGAAAAACATCCATGTACTGGATTTGATAAACATGCACATTTTAAAGATTTTGGTATGCCTTTTTTAACATTATTTCGTATTGCAACTGGTGATAATTGGAATGGAATAATGAAAGTAATTCGTTTTTTTTCTTTTTAATTATTATTATATATCTTTTGTATGATTTTTAATATAAAAGGATGCATTACGTCAAGATGATTCTCCGCATGATGGAAAAAAACATTTAATGACAGCATTAGCACCAACTTATTTTGTTATATTTGTTCTTATGGCACAATTTGTTCTTGTTAATGTTGTTGTTGCTGTTTTAATGAAAAAACTTGATGTACATATTGAGAGAGGTTAAAAATCGACTTTTTTTGCGCCAGACGGATCGAGCTGAAATTTTAGGATATGAATTATGGCTAATAC